CTGTTAAGTTTGTCGCATACCCACTTAAGGCATAGTTCTTCTTCGTCGTCAGCCACTGCATAAAAATAATTGCACAGAATTCTTAGCAAATGTGTAATGGATACCACGCTTCTCCGAAGAGTGAATAAGGATAGCATAGTGAATGCTGGCCTACCACACAAAAATTGATTACTTATGGTGTAGTACATACCCAGCAAGTGCGCTTGTAGCAGTTACCCAATGAGTGTTTAGAAAAGGTTCTGAAAGGCCACTCTTCTAGCTTTCGCTGTGACTGTGCTGTGTGTTCTGCGCAGGCCTGGCAGTTTTTTTTTTTCTCTCCTCATTTCTGTTTGGCCGGTGAAGAAACGTCTGGAAAGTGAGAAACCTGGCTTGGAACGACCGAAGTCTGCGTGCGGGGCTCGCCGTGGTCTACAATATCTTCGTTGCAAGTGAACAGTAGGGGGCACACACGAGCAAGCGCCTATCACTCATGCTTCAAAATGCCTTTTTTAACACTTCTTTTTCGCTTCGTAACGCCATATTTTTACTGCGACCGTGTCGAAAATGTTCGCTGTATGTGGACTGAGTTTCAAAGGGTAGAATAGAAAAATTGTAAGTGCACTGAAATATGGTCGTTATAACCGATTTTCAGTAGATAGAAGTTTGTGATATCAAAGCCAAGGGTGGCTATATGATATACTATCAGTGCTGGTTGCTGTGTTGTGCGAGTTGGTATGTATCAGAACTGTATCACTTCCTCATGTTTTGCCAAACAAGGTATCAATATTTAAGGAATGTCGCTAGAGTGACTTCATTGTTCTGCCTACCTTGAACAAAATATTCAAGACAAATTCTCTAGGGTTTCAACTTTCAAGGTGGAATGTCTGTGGGATCCTTCCTGTCAGGTTAGTATGAGTGCACCAAGCTACCGCTAAGACATGCTCTTACATTTGCTTTTTATCACTTTTATATTGTGTGCTCTAGCCTTCTGTACAAAAAAACTGGAGATCATTCAGTGTGATTTAGATCGACATTACGTCATACAATCTCGACAGAATTAAATAAAGGAAATATGTAGGGATTTCACTTAACATGGTAAAATGGTAAACATAATAAACATGGTAAACATGGTAAAACATGGTACTGAAGGGAATCCCTGAGACAAAGGGCGAACACTGCTTGGCAGTCGTCCAGGTTATCGGTGAGAAGATTGGTTGTCCAATTGCCGATACAGACATAGACGCCGTGCATCGGGTGCCCGCAAAGAATGGAAGCAACATTATTGCGCGATTCTGTTCGAGAAACAAGAAGGCTGAATTCAAGAAAGGCACGCCTGTCTACCACAGATATAGGGTTTTCTCAGAGCACAGGTCCTAAACCTGTGTATGTGAATGACCATCTCACACCAGAGCGAAAGCGCCTTTTTGCACAGGCACTTGCGCTTAAGAAAGCCAACCAGTGGAAGCATCTCTGGACTGACAATTGTACAATCAAAGCCAGAAAGGCGGATGACAGTCGCGTGTTTCGAATTGCATGCGCAGAAGATCTCCGAGTATTCTCTTAGATATCCTATCAGTCCCCATTTTAAACCGACCTTAGATCAACATGGCTGCGTTCTCGTGCCAGCAAACATCAGAATTGCTACTCGAGAAGTCACCATCCCTATCACTACTTCACTTAAACATTCGCAGTCTTAGAAAGCACCAGGATGACCTTGTTGCGTTGATTTCCTTGCTTAAAAATTCATTCTCTGTCATATGTTTATCTGAAACTTGGTTGTCTGGTAATGAGGATAACTTGTACGGATTGCCAGGTTATTATTCTGAATACTGTAATCGGGAGCTCTGTCGTGGTGGCGGTAGTGCCATACTTGTCAACTCATCCTTAACCTACACATGCCGTAGTGACATAACCTTCAACAATATTTTATGTGAATCTGTTTGGCTTAAATTCAACCATAGTGTTATACCATTGAATAGCCGTAGTACTATTATAGCTTCCATTTATCGGTCACCTTCATCGTCGTATTCCGATTTTTGTAATCAGTTAAGCATCATTCTTAATAACCTAGTGAGGGAAAATAAAAACGTCTTATGTGGTGATTTTAATATAAACATTATTGATCCTGATAGGGCATCGTGCTTAGAATATATGAACTGTTTATACTGCTATGGTTTTACGTCGCATATCTCAGCACCAACTAGAAATGATTTACTAGGTTCGAATACCCTAATAGATCATATCATCTACAACATTTCCACTGAACACGTTGCAGGTGTAATAGATCATAGCATTACAGACCATATTCCCGTATTTTTCATTCTGGGCTCCGAAAATACCAAGGCCAGTAACATCTTTACGAAACGCCGATTCGATGCGGACAAGTTTGTGCAAATAATTAGCACAGTAGACTGGACATCGGTGACTGATCTAGACTGCGCAGAAAAGGCTTTTGAGTCTTTCTCAGAAGTAATAGCTTCAGGTATAGATGCATGCACCACTTCCACTACTGTCACAAAGTGGTATCGTTCCCCTAGAAATCCATGGATAAGCAACTCGTTGTTGAAGTCCATTAATAAAAAGAATAACCTTCACAAGAAACTAAAGACGCAGCCTTATAACCTCGCATTAAAATGCCGCTTTCACAAATACTCAGCAACATTATCTTCCCTACTTAGACGTGCTAAGCGCAAATACTACCGGAATCTCATTGTAAAAAACACAAGTAACATGAGACGCTGCTGGGAAATCATTAAAGAATTTTCGAACATGAAAAACTGCTCAGAGCCCACAATAAAAATAAAGCAAGGCAACGAAATGTATACCGACCCTGTAAGAGTGGCCGCCACGTTCAGTGAGCATTTCTGCGCATCTGCGGATACGCAGCAATCACCAGGTCATTTACGCAATATACCACGGTGTACTCATTCTTTTTATCTTCATTCCACGTCTTCAGATGACGTCCTTCAGGTCATCACATCACTAAAGACCAAAAGTGCTGGTTTAGATAATATTGATCCTTTTAAAGTAAAACTAGTTTCAAACTTAATATCACCACCTTTGGCAGTAATTATTAACAAGCTATTTTCAGTGGGTGTGTTTCCGAGCTGCCTTAAGGCTGGTAAAATAGTTCCAGTTTTTAAGAAGGGTGTTAAGACTTTTGTACAGAATTATAGGCCAATCTGTATCCTGCCTTTCTTCGGTAAGGTAATTAAAAAGTTATTCCACATTAGATTAATGCGTTATCTGAAAAAATTTAATCTTTCATCTCCACAACAATTCGGATTCCGTCAAAGATATTCAACTGAGCTGGCACTCATTACCTTAACAGAGGAAATTAAACAAGCCATTGATAGAGGGTTACTTGTGGGATCTGTGTTTATCGATTTGACAAAGGCTTTTGACACGATAAATCATCACAATCTACTTGCTAAACTCGAATCATTTGGTATGTCTGGTCCGCCACTAAGTTTTATTAAGAGCTACCTCAGTAACCGGTCTCAGATGGTTCATGTTAATGGCCATCTTTCAACGCCCAAGTTAATTAACGTTGGTGTTCCACAGGGATCAATTTTAGGCCCACTTTTATTTTTGATGTTTATTAATGATCTACCTACCATTCTTACAAGGACCAAGTGCATACTTTACGCTGACGACACAACTATCTTTCAGTCATCTAAATCAGTTTCTTCACTCCAGTCTGACCTCAACACAGATTTACATAACATAACTTTATGGTGCCAGGCCAATTATCTTTAGATCAATGCTACTAAAACCGTGTTTATGTTGTTCCATTCCCCGCGCATTTCACTTGACATACAACCTTCCCTTCACATTGGTAATACCGTCATAAACGTTTACAGTGAAGTGCGGTTTCTTGGCGTCATCTTAGATAGCGAACTAAAATTTCATAAACATGCAGCATCACTCGTTAAAAAGATTGCATTTGGTATTCACGTTATCATCAAGACACTAACTTATTTTCCGCCTCGCATCATACGTACTTTGTATTTTGCTTATATTCATAGCCATATTTCGTATTGCGTATCATCTTGGGCCAACACATATTTCACGCACATCGAACGTTTGCAGCGACTTCAGAATCAAGCAGTTAGATTAATGACTTTCAGCCCATTTTACTTCTCCTGCAGCTCGTTGTTTCCTCAGCTTAACATACTCCCATTGAGACAATTATTTTGTCATAGAATGTCCATTGTCGCCTTTAGACTCATCACGCATGACATTTTCATTGCATGCATTGATCATCGTCACTTAACTAATAGTAACATCACCCGGTTTTCCCAGTGCAATAATCTTCTTTTGCCGGCCGTAAGGACAAACTACGGCAAGTTCTCAACCTTATTTACTAGCATAGCCATTTGGAATTCATTGCCTTTCAAATTGAAATCATCGCATAACATCCATATTTTCACTTCGCGCAGTAAGAAATTTTACGTTCAGGAATTAATCAACTCATCCGATTTGTGTAATTAACTGTTAATAGCTCTCCACAGTTCTGTGCTATTTTACTACTTCAATTTGCCTTTGTATAATTGATAACACTGATAATGAAACATGTTGCATTTGTCACGTAGAGTTCATTAATATTGTTTTTTGTCTTGACTTGCTTTTGACTATTTCCTTGTTATTTTTCAATAGTGAGTATTACCATTATGCTGTGTATTTATCGTATTTTTATTGTTAATCAAGATTATTTATTATTACTCACAAGTCCGTATTTTATTGCTATATTTTTTGTAATTACCCCATCCATGTAGCCATAGGAGGTCCCCCTGTCAGTTTCTCTGAAACTTTGGGACCTCCTGCTGTAATAACGCTAACCATGTAACTCAACTGAACTATTTAATAAACTTGACTTGACTTGACTTGACTTGACTTGAAATAGTACTCGCCATTTCAATTAGGAGTGTAGGGTCAATTTGGGACAGTATGTGAAAAAAGTTGAGCTCAAGGTAAATACTTATGTCAAATGATAATGATTGCAATAATGTGAAATGCAGATCCAGGACATCACAGCTGTGGACCCTTGCCACAAATTCTCTTGGTGCCTAGATGCCTGCATCCGGGAGAAAAATGTGGACACCAAGCGATCTCGGGAGCTTCAAGGTTTTCTTGACAGCATCAAGAGGGGCCAAGAACAAGTTTTGGGGTGCGTGTACACGAAAAGCACTTTTTTCTCTTCATAATTTTCAACCACTCAGGATTGTTTACTGTTGTTGACTGATAATTCAGGTGCTGATAATTAGGGCATCTTCTCTTTATATTTGCAGTTGTTTCATGACAGGAAGGCTTTCTATTTGTAGACATTTTATGATATGAATGTATGACTGAATTTTCATGAAAATTATTCGTGCTATACGTTAGAGCAGGGCTTTTTTAAGGGTGGACACGGGTCTCTGGGACGAAAAAAAAAAATTTGCAAAAATGTCAAATTTTTGAAAATGACAATTTTGAAATCTAGAGGTATTTTTGCACTACACAAAATTTCTCGGCTCCCAAATTAATATTTTTGCCGTAGCACAACTTTATTTTGTCGAATCCAGCAGAATTACAGCCAATGTTGAAGCTATAAAAGCACTTTTTTGCAGTACACAGCTGCCGCTTCTTGTATTGCAGCACGGACATCTTATTGTCATTTGAAAGAGCAATCTTTCTTCTTTAATTTCCTGCTAATTGCGGTTCTGTGCTGCTATCGGCTTTCTGAAAATACCACGCCAAAAGGAGTCCCAACGCGACCTCTCATTTGCTGTTTAGGGCATGTGACCCGAGCTTGGCATACGATTGGCGGATTTCTTGTCTCGTCATCTGCTTGGCGCTTACCCGCGCTGTTGGCCGCGTGCCATGTTTTCTCAGTGTGTGAGCGACTGACGCAGCGAAGACATGGCTTGTAAGAATGTCTACATGAAAAAGGCATTCGGTGCAAAAAAGGTGCGACGGGTACTTATTGACAACATCTGCAAGCAGAGTGCAATGCAGCCGAACGCCGAAGCTGTTGTGACCGCCGCCGCTTACGATGTCGCCGAGATAAGCCTAGGCCTAACAATTAGCCCATCGTTCTCTGAAGGTGCCAAAGGTCGCGTGCATTGTGATACGAAGTTTCTGCAGCCTGAAGAATTTGAGGAGGGAAAAAAGAGAGCTGAAAATAAACTGTAGCAGCTACCGTCCACCCCCGCCACGGAAAGAAGCGAGATCAGACTGGCACTGCGATGCTGCACGTGAGCCGGTTCACAGAACTGTGTTTATAGTTGTAAGCTTAGGTTTGGTGAACGCTATGTTTGTATAGGCGAAGTGCAAAATGTGCAGTGCTGGGGACCTAGAAGTCGGAGACGATCGTAAATACGAACTTGCTGTCAAGCTGCGCCTAATGTGCACGAACTGTGGTGACGTGCCGTGGACGTGGAGCTCGCCGCGTAACCACAGTGAATGTAAAACTAACCCGTTCTCAGTGAATGTTCTCACCACCCATGCTATACAAGCTACCAGTAACCGCCAAACAGCTTTCAACGATATATTCGCGATTATGAACATTAGCCGTCGCGGCCTCCACACCAAGACGTGGCAAGGCTACAGTAATATCTCATTAACTCGAAGTTGTATAAACCAAAGAAAGTTTCGAGAGGAGCAAAGTTGCGCAAACTGTCGGAAAAAGTTTAGCGCTTTTTAGCGAAATCAGTACTACTTACGGGCTCTTCAGCAGGAGTTTATAATGTTTCTTCTCGTGAAAGTTTTAAAACCAGCTAGATTTTGCAGCCCTACTATTTTATTTAGCGGAGAAAAGTTCTCTAATGCTTCTCTGCTTTGCTGTCAAGCTCGGGCCTAGGCAGGCGTCCGCCGCTTCACTCCACCTTATTTCGAAGCAAACGCAGCAAATTTCTTGTTTCTGCAGATGTCGGCACTTCTCGAGGTGGTTCGTCATCGGCGCCCTACCTTAGTAATCGTTTGAAGGATTTCGGCGTCCATCATTTCTCCGGTCACCGGCACATCCTGCTCGCACAGGCGGACTCGAGAAAAGTCGCGTCACTTTCGGCGGCATCGTTACCGGCCTCCTTTCTCCACTTCCTTAATTAGGGCAACCTTCTATTCTAGCGTTAGTGACTTGCACTGCTTTTGTGACGCCGTGCTTGTCGCACTTACGCTAAGTCGTCGCTCTTCAAAGTAACCGTTAAATCAGTACTGCGTGCATTGCGCAGATTAGACCGAACGGAAATCACACCTTAGAAAAACAACGAGCACTGCCAAACAAACGAGACAAAGGACGCGACTACGCCAAGCGTAGGGCAAAGAGCAAGGCCTGCTGCGTGGGAGCCACATGACATGCCACTGGGCTTTTCGACAAAGTTGATGTGCCACTAGGCTATGACTTAACGTTTGCGGAAAGTATCGGCGTAGCAGCAGGCACGGCTAAATAAGAAATAAAAAGCAAAAATTTGACGAATTTCATGTGTCAGCATTGCGCGGTTCTTGTGTAATGGCCCGGTGGTGGAATTTTCGTTTCACTCTCTCTCAAGATTTCAAGATAATCGCAATCCGATCCAGAAACAGTTCGAGATAAAGGGAAAAAAAAAATACATGGTACGTAACAGAGAAGTTCGGTGCCGCGAAAAATTTTGACTTAGCCGATTTTTTGAGATATACTAGTTCGCGTAAACGAGGTATTACTGTACCTCGAAGGAAAGCTGGCTCCAGCAGCAGATTGTGCTTCCCAAAATGTGGCTAGCGAGTGCACGTGTTCGGTTCGTGAGCTTTATCAAGAATTGCATCTCAGCAACCTCAGAAACATCGCGTCGTCGTACGATGGGACGTGGATGACCCGCGGAAATTCATCCCACATCGGCATCGGCACCATGATTGAACTGTTCACGGGGCTTTGCTTAAACTACGTCGTTCTAAGCAACTTCTGTGCGGGGTGTGAGATGGGCCCAAAGGAAGGTGATCTTTCTTTCGAAAGTTGGAAAAAAATTCACAAATGTCAGTGAAATACTGACAAAAATTTGGGGAAATGGAAGTGGAGGCGGCATTTATCCTGTTCAAGCGGTCCCTCGAACGGCACAATCTTGGCTACACTATCGTGCTTAGTGATTGGAGATAGCTGGACCTATCTTGCTCGGCAGGAGGAGAAGCCTTATGGCATTGTAAAGGATGGGGGACTACCCGGTCTCTTGTGGTAGCGTGGTGTAACCGGGCGGAGGAAACGAACGCTGACAAGAGGATACGGAGAACAAACAGGTTTATGGCACTATTTACACATATTTACAGCAAAGAAGGGTTAGTGGTTTCACAAACCACGAGCGTGGTGGTTGAACCGTTACATAGTTCAGAGCGGCGTCCAGCACTCTGCGGCGTCGTTTTAAGCCCTGTTGGGCTCCTCCTCTCCGAGTGTAACACCAATCACACACACACAGGTGAGGGGGACGAGCATGCACGGTCCACGTGAACACTGCACTGCAAGGTGGCGCCGGCAGGGCTCTTCCTCGTCGTGTGTGTGCCGCTAGTCGAGAGTTCCCACGATCCTGACAACGTACATCAAAGGGTCTGCCGCACAGCTCGCCTAATTAGCGGGGTGATTGGCGGTGGCCGCGGCGGTCCCATCCAGGAAGATGCTGTCTTTGTTGTCCTTTTTCGTCGTGGCGTCGTGGCGACCCGACGTCTCATCCTCCGGCCAGCAGGGACAAGGCCTGGCGGGCATAGGCAGTCGGCCGGTCGGCTACTTGAATGGGGATTAAAAAGGAGCGCCGTTCTCCTGTCAGCTCTGGCGCCGGTCACAGCAGCTTCCCCGTTGCCAGTGAATCACCGAGGTCATCAGGCACCACTGCTGCTTGAAGGGACGACAAAAGGGTCCGCATTTGAAAGACGGGAACTCGCCTTTGCTTGCTGCTTGGTCTAGATAATTGCTTAGATCTTCGACAGCGTCTGTCAGACTGGGTGCCGAAGGGATTGAGAGCCTCCCCCGTGGACCGGCTTACGCACAACGGCGACTGCCCAGATGAATTTCCAGGCCAAACTTAACAGCTCCTCCGCCGCCCGGAAAAGCTCGGCTGGCCAGCGCTCCCAACCGCTGGGCATGGAGAGAATGGTTGGTGACGAGGACGATGGCCTGGCTTTCTCCCTCCAGCTGCGAACTCGAAACCAACTCCCAAACCAGCTCACAATGATTGACAACAGCAAGGCGAACCACACAACACAATACCATGCGGAAGTCAAGCACATTGGACCCGCTTAAAAACCCTCCAGGCTTCTCAACACAAAAAGGAAAACCTGTACGCTAAAATTTTGAGACAATTTGGTGCCGCCAAAGTTACAACAATCATGGACGTGGAGATGCTTACCAAAAAATGGAACAAATTGCCGTGTGAGAAGATCACCCAAAGGCAAATACAATTTGGCCTGATATAATCATAATTGCACTCTTTGAAAACTCTCTTTCTCCTACCATCCTCCCTACTAAGTTGTAACTTACATCTAATTTCATTACTAATTTCATGAAACACAACCAACTACATGGTTTTTACACGAAAGCTGCCAGACACTATACACAAGGTATCTGTGCACATTCTTCATTCTCTCAATAAACCGAACTGTGTAAATCCTTAAAACGCATCCCTAATCTCAACGTTCGGTATGTAACATAATGCTCAGCAAAAGAATTCGCCTGATCCCTGAGCACATACTAAAATCACAAAGGGAAATGCAACTCGTGTACTAACATGCTCATTAACTGAATGTAGCCTCATGTCAGCTACTGTCTTTTAAAGAACGCACAGGACTTTGCAGTGCGCCCTAGCACGACATCATACTCTCATTCAAAGAGCGCTAGCATACACACACGCACCTAACCAAAGGTCATATCACGATAACCTATAGCCACCACTCATTCAAATTTAGCGGCCGTACCAAATCTTCATCCCTGACATACATGCTTTTATTTAGAAGAAAACTGATTTCACGCCACTGCTTTCGTATAACACCTCAACTAAAAACACTTAGAACGCTTTTAAAAAATCTAGACGCGAAAAACTGCCGCTACACGAACTAGCCGGGGAGATGACACAGGAATACCACTTTAAAACCAAATATAACCAAACACATATGTTTCCAAAAAAACTACTGTGTCCGACTCTCCAGCCTACAGCTGTCGCTCCCTCTTCAGTG